AAATCTCAAAATTGAGTTTTTGCCCGGACACTGCCTTCAAATCTATTCTTGTTTTTCTCAGAAAAAGGAATGGATGATGACAACTTGTAACCACGCAATGTACGCAATAGTTGATGTATTCACACAGTTCTTCCCACAACTCAGCGAGCTAGTTTTACCATCTATCTACGAACAGTTCGCCGTTTGTATACAACAGAGTATGTTGTCTTTTGCAAATGCTAATTGCGTAGTCGATTTGAGAGACTAGTAGAAGTCTGATGTTAAGAAAACGAGCAGCTAGCACGATCTACGGTTAACTGTTTGGAGACTCTGATTTTGCTCAATGGCGAACGATTCACCGATGACATGTGGGAGAAAACGGTCAAACTTTTCCGACGTCTTTTTGCAGCTACACTACCGAAATCGTGAGTTCATTACGGAAAAGTTGCATGTGATCTTGATCTCAATATCTCATTTAGCCTGTTGACTTGGGAACCAGATCGACCTGCTTCGGGTGCTGTAAATGACTCAAACAACGAGGAGCTTGATGGCAAAGTTCCGAGCATTGACGGACGACCTAATGGGTAACCTCAATAATTTTTTGAACATCGATGTTCTGTGAATCATCCTCTTCTATCTTCAGGTCAATCCATCCCGACGCTGTGTTCTCTGAACAAATTGTTTTCTGTGTAGTGCAGTCAGAACTGGTGGATGCGGTTACGTCTATAGTTCTAGGAGCGAAGAAAAGCACAGGTGCATCCATTTTTCCATGAAAAACTTTTTATCAAGTGAATGAGTTTAGATGAAATAGTTCTGAGCATACCAGCGATGAAGTCTGAACAGCCCAATGGTTCAGACTACAATAACACTGTCAGCAAAGGTTTGTTCAGTACCATGGATCCCATTCTTTTACTGAGGTGCGTCAAAGTAGTGGACCGTTTACAGTTTTGTGACAGCGATAAATTATTTGTAGCCTTTGCGATGCATTGGGAGAGAGCCAGCGATTAGCAAAGCAGTTCAACGACAACAATGGACAGAGGACATTGTTATGGAAGGCTGGCCTTCGCGGTTCGAGCAAGCCCAATTTGATAAGGTCGGTTCCTATATTACATTATTTTATACGATTCGTTTCTATTGCTTCTCTGCATTTTGTCATTTACTGCCTATAAAAGGCAGTGTCCGGGCAAAAAGTCGATTTTGAGATTT